ACAGCCCCCCGCGCCCCCACCTGCACCGGCGGCCCCAACCCTGCAGATGCAGGTGATGCTGTCGGACCCCAGCACAGCACATCCTAGATAGAGCACAGAGACCCGATAGCAGTATAGTCAATAGTGTCTAATAGCATTGCTAACAAATAGAACTTAACAGACTCGGTAAGAAACAGATCTTAGAAGAGTTGATAATAAACTGTTTGAACAATAAACCTTTTCCAGTTGTCCTGTCCTGTTTGTACAGCGGAAGCCCTGACTGAGTTTTTAGACTCACCAGACTTCCACCCGTCAAAGTAGAAGCAATGGGTCCACAGGCACTTTAATTATTTTGCCTAACAATCAAGCTTTAATTTTTAGATTTTTTAGCTTTTACTTTTAGCTTCTTATAGCCCTAACTTTAAGAGGGATCATCTCCAGCTGCTGAAAAGGTACAAGCCAAGAGTGGGATGCAAAACGAGAGATGCAGCTGCATCGTGCCTGAATGCGGAGCTGGATGAAAAGCGTCCCAGAAGCTGCCAAGATCTTCGGCCTGTGCGGGGAACCACTGCTGGGGTGGAGAAGGAGGTGTTCGCACCAGCTCCACCACAGGACATGCAGGTGTCTGCTCACAGAAAGTCCATACTCACCAAGGTAAGCAACTAATCGTGAAAGCACGTCCCCGCATCCGCAGACCCCGAAACCCCTCTAGACACAGCTGCGCCCCCTGCTGGAGCAGCAGGCAGGGAGAGCTTCGGGGCTGCCCCATCCCTGGCACCACCACCCAGCAGCCAGGCCCTGGCTGGCCTCCAGCGTGCTGCTCCGGCACCGCACCCTCCTGGCCCTCCCGCACCACAGCTGCCATCTTTGGCACCAGGGCTGGGCTTTCCCACCTTCCCCCCCACGCAGCCCGGCGCAGCGGCTGGGCTGCTCCCCTGGGCTGGCCTCTCTCCCTGCAGCAACCCCTGGGCTGGCAATGCCCGTGCTGGCAGCAGCCCTTGCCATGGCCGTGCCAACGCCACCCCACGGCCAAAGCCCTACAGCCCCACATTGCCCCCCTGCCCCTGCGCCACCAACGCTGCGGCTGCAGGCGATGGGGCTGGACCCAGAGTGGCACATTAGTTAGGGTAGGGATAGTCGCTAGCATGTGAATAGAGCCTAACAGAGGTGGAAATAAATAGGGTCTAATAAAGTTAGTAATATAGAGCATCTAAGAGATTTTATAATAAATAGAGACTAATAGAGTTAGTAAATAAATGGAGCCCAACAGAGCTGGAAATAAACTGTTGAACAATAAACCTTTTCCAGTTGTCCTGTCCTGTTTGGACAGTGGAAGCCCAGATCGAGTTTTTATTTCACCAAAGTAAAAGCAAGTGGTCCACAAGCACTTTTATGGTTTTCCATAACAGTTAAGCTCTGGATTCTTAGTATTACTGAGTAAAAGATGGATAATGTTTACGTGATGTATGCACTGAGGATGTTCTTCCTAATGGCAACTTCTGAGCGCAAGGGGTATGCCATCAAAAATTTTGGAGGCTACAGCTCTAAGGAATAAGATTTAAACAATTGCCCTGGTTATTTAAGGACATTTCATAAGTTTGTATCAAAACCACGTGTCATTGCCCTTGTTAAGACGACACCCTTCAGAGAAGGCAAGGGGATTACTCAGAGGCAGGTCCTGACCAGTATAGCTGTGTATAAGCAAGCAAAGGGGATGGAGGGAGAGTCATTTGGCTGCTTTTTGGATGGGGAAGCATCATCTTGGTAGTCTTAGGAACAAAGGCCATAAGCACAGCTTGCAACCATCTGACCCCAGGCTATGACTTGCCCTTCTCGGAGTGCAACAGGACTGGGTGTGGGCAGTGCCGAGCAGAAATCCCGCAGGAGAACGTGAGCTCTTCAGGAAGTGGTGTCTGACTCACCAGTGAGGCAGCATGCAAGCACAGCATTAAGGCGCTGCACTGTTTCAGGGACTAGGTCTTGGATGTAATGTAACACGTACAGCCCAAACTAGAGTCACCACCAAAGATTTTGTAGCTGCTCTTGGGAAAAAGCCTATTCCCAGTGATCTGATGATAGGCAAATAGCTACTGTTTAACCATCCAGAGCTTAGTTACTTTGGAAATTTAAGCAAGAAGTAAGTGTTCTTCACTTCCTGTCTTGATAAACCATCCAGAACAACATCACCTGGTTTATCAGCAGTGCCTTAGAGAACACCATTTCAATAGAGAGATAAAGCTTCATTTCTTTAGTGACCACTTTGAATATGAAGTGCTATTTAAGTGCAAGATCTTATCTGTGCATAGTCACAAACATATTGGCTTCTTAGCAGCCTTTGCCCAACATCGTGCCAACTCTCCCAGTCTTGCTTTCTCTGTTGTAGCCTGTTCCAAAGGGACATAGCAGAAGACTCACACTACTTTGCTTACCAACTATAAGCCATGTAAACAGACAAGTGCTTCATTTGCATGCACATATATCCGATAACAGCATGTAGGGCAAGCTTACAGAAAAAAAAAAAAGCTCATTTTTTCCTCATGAAGTGGGACTGAGTCTCTACAAAGCGGTTGTGGGATAGAAAAAGTCATCTCCTGTGCACAGGCACAATATAAGCCTTGGACCTGAAACGCATTTATTCTGGGTGTTTGATCTGAGATATCACAATGGACCTCTATCTCTGATGTTAGGTTGTTCCACTCCCTCAGGATCAGTATCCTCCTGGACACTAGAAGATGGACTCACTCAAGCTCATTAGTCCCTTCCCTGAACTGTAAGTCCTGTCACTGACCACATACCCTGATGACTCCAAACCCAGGTTAGTCTCACTGTCACGCTGACCAGTTTCTCTTCATGAAATATTCTAACAGGCACATAACTCTCAGTCTCAGTAGCTTAGCTATAAGTCTGTATCTGATTTTAAAAGAACCACCTGCATGTTGTACAGAAAAGTTGCTGTTCTCTCTTACAGTCAGGGATGGGGAGGTGGGGGGAAGGAGGAAGATCTTGAAGTCTTTCTGTAAGTGCTAGCTTTCAGCCATATCTTCAGCCTTTAAAAAATTCTGTTCAAGGGAGAAATACTACAGCCAGTGTGTCTGAACAACTTTGCTTCTATGAAGGCCAGTCAAGTCCAACCAAAAGATCTCTTTCAACTTCAGTGGTGGCTGGATTGGGCCCTTAAACTGCAGCAGTTCAAGGCAAGGGGCACCAACAGAACAAACTAAGGTGTCGTTATCGTTGTTGAAGTTGTAAGCAGATTTTTAATGATTTGGAAGAGCACTATTGTTAACAGCTTAGTTATACTGTAATAACCATAATAATGACATTTACCTAAATTTCCTGCAGACTGATGCTGATTAGAACAGCCTTTAGATCATGGCCCTATTTCCTATAAGCATAAATAAATGTGTATAGAAGAGCACTGTCATGATTCAGTGACTGTTTATATCAAACTGCCTAGGTAAGTACTGACTTTTCAGAAGGATCCAATGAAATACAAAGTCAAATGCCAAATATTTGGGAAATATGGGTATTTAGAAATTAGATTACAACATCCATGTCAGAAATATCTGGAGTTGGAAAAGAGTCAGGTAAATTGCAACATCAATTCTACCAAGTAACCCTTCCTCTCCAAACTCACTTTGATGTTCTAGTCAACTATTTCAGACTGCAGATCAAACCCAACTCTTTTTTTGGCGGAAGTGTTTTTACAAAGAATTTCAGGAGTCAAGGACTTGGGGTTTTGCTTCTGTAGACCAGTAAGCAAGTTTTCAAAATAATAACCAGCACAGCTATAGAGCAGGGAGCGCACTGTCATTGCATTCCTCTCCTGACCAGCTCTGGGCTCTGTGCAGGAGGGAGCACTGTGCCTAGTGTAGGAGACTTCAGAAGAAAACGTAACTTGTCTTGACAGTCTCTTATAATTTATAAAATTTTCTTCCTTTCCTAGCACTGTCAGAAAGGCTGAATTAGTGTTTAAACTACATATATATATTTTTTTTCTCACCACTGCAGGTTCCTGGTGCCTGTGCATGCTTTCAAGCATCCACATCAGTCAGCACAACAAGTTTCTACAGCTATGGCTCAGAAAGAATTATTTTGCGCTGGAGAAAAAGCTAGACTGTGGCAGCTTTGCAGCTTCTTCCAACTGGAAAGGAGTTCCTGTCTTCCCAAAGACATCCTCCCAACTCTGCCAGGACAGTCTTTCTGCAAGAGCAGCTTTCTTCAATGGATGCTACAAAAAGAAAAATACTAAAAATGCAGAACTTTGACACAAACCTCCGAAGGATAACACTGTCTCATGGGGCAGACACTGCTCTTCTCCAAAAATGCACACATAGCTTAGCTTTCTCCTCTCCCTGGAACAGCTAGGCTGGGAGCATCATGTACCTTTACCCTGATCTCCTCAATGTGCACAACTCAGGAGAGGACCTTGCTTCGACAGGCAGATCTGACTGAGGCTGGATGCTCATAATCATAGCAGGGCATCACAGAACAAACCTTGCATCAATGGCAACACCCCGTGACTGAACAACTTAAAGGCTGTGGGGAGCTCAAAGACTGGAATTTGACTACTGTGAGGGCTGGCAACCCACCAGAGTGTTTAATTTCTGTGAGGTTAACATATCTGACACAGAAGAGCCTGAACTGACCAAAAGTTAACAGAGAAATTGATTGTTCAAGGTACAGGGACGGAATGGTAGAAATGGGGCCTGGAAAA